ATTTTTATTTTGAATTGGTTTAGTTATAAAGGAAGCAGAAGTCTTCCTATAGTTGTTTTTTAGGATAATTATTGTAACTTCTAATATTATGAGTTACAATATTAAGCAAGAGAGTGTTGTTAGTATTGTTAGTATTAGTGTTAGTAGATATTTGTATAGTAGAATTATTAGAAAAATTTGTTAATAAGTTAGAAATGTTTAGATTATCATCAAAGTTAGGAAGTTTGAGGTTTGTAAAAGTTTTAGTAGAGTATTGTAATATTGTAGAAGGGTGAAAAGGTTAAATGATGTATAGTTTGAGAGAATATTATCATTACAGAGAAGATATATATGAGCTTTATTAATTTGTTTGTTAATTGAAAATCTTGTTGGTTTTGAAAATTGTTTTTCTTTTAAATATTTCAGAATGATCTAATAGTTTAGTCAGATTTTAGTAAATCATATTGTGAAATTTTAGAAATATGTTGTAACAGATTAGTATCTCAAAAGGTTTTAAAGATATTAAAATTGGAAGCTCTAAAAGATCTTCTATATATGCACTCACTATATGCTCAGTTTTCATAGCTATACTGAACTCAAAAGTCTGCTCTGTATGTTGAGTCTGACTGTCATTTATTTGAGTTGCTATATATAATTTGGAGTTTGTATTAGAGGTAGTAGTAGATATTTATATATTCCTTTATATTCAGAATTACAAATAGATATACTTTAAGATCTAATAGTATAATTTTATAAAATTCAACTCCATATAATTTTTTTTAATTTACTATAGAATATTTAGTTTTCTGATCAATAAGAATAAGCTATTATATAACAAAATATTAAAAAAATATGAATTTAATATTTTATTATATTATTAATAAAACACTTATGACAATATTTTTTTTTAAAAGAATTAAAAAATACAATATAGCATTCATTTGTAGATCTATTATTAATATAGCTAGACTATAAATAATTAAAAATTAATTTATTATTATTAATATATAAATTGAATAATAAATAAATTTATTAATTTACCTCATAAGTATTATCAAATAAATTGTGCAAAATATCAATATTAATATTAGAAGAAATATGCATAAAACAATGATATTTTTCTCATATTTTTCAATTAGTACATTCAATAAAATAAGTAGATTAAAAATAATTCTGATGTGATAAACAATATAAAACAGGCTTGCCTTCATATAATTGGTTGTTTTGTTGAAATTTGCAAGGTGTTTCAAGAGTAGCAAGATAAAACCTAAATTAAATTTTAATTAAATTATTAATATTATATAAAATAGTTTAATTCTTATTACTTACTCAAAGATATTATTATCTATATTATTAGATGAAATTCTTTGAATTATTCGTATCATAAGATCAGAATTCATATCAACACACTGATGTGTTTGATTATGTAATTTATAAGCAGCAAATTCACAAAGTTTTGAACCTTGACAGGTTCACATTTTGCGTTTTACTTCAATACCAAGATAAGGACATATAACTTCATATTCACTATTGGACTTGCCAATTGAATATTGAATCTAAAAAATATAAAATATAGTAAATAAAATATAATAATTATAATAACATATAATAAAAAAAAAAAATTCAAAAATTACAATATCTTTGAATGCAGATAACAGTTCTTCCCAACCTTCAACATTATATATATAAGCAACACTATCTAGACTTGTTTCAGAGTATTCTATAGGCGTTAAGGTATGACAAATAATATTTGAAGCTAATTCTTTAGTAAAGTATGTTACAGTATGTTCGTCTATATCATCCGTAATATTATCATTGATATTTTGAAGGTCATTACTAGAAGAAACTAATATACTATTAGTTTCAAAGGATTCTAGATCTTCTTCATAAATAGTTTCAATTCAATCAGTACTATGAAAATCAGAATCATCATTAACATGAAGGTTAGAATCATCAATAAAAAAATTAGGATCATCTATTTCAAGAAAGTAAATGCGAAAAGTATATAATTTACATTAGTAGTCTTCAATTATTTAAAGAAAAAAATCATATATAACGTAATATAATGTAACATACAAATATACTATCATATGATTATTCAAAATATTTCAGCATTATAATTGCAAACTATTTATTTTTTTTACTTTTTTTATTATATATTAATTATATCATTTATGTCATTATCTATATTAATTTTTGGGTTTGAGTCAAAATTCTGACAAACAGAATCTCGACAAACAAAATTCTAACAAAAATTAAATTACCCTAACCCTAATATGGGCTAAACTTGTCGGATTTTGACCATATATGAATTCTGCTATTGGGATTTTGATTGGCTCCCTAATTTTTTTATATTTCACTTTTATACTTTATACTTTTTTATTTTTAATAAATAATCATTAATTTATCATCCATCACACTATATTATGCATCCGATCTTGATTTCAGTCATCTACATTTCCTTATGATTACATAAAATGTTCGTTGCACAAGTATAATCATCTATACAAGTATGATCGTTCTCATACTATACTTGTATGTATGGTCATCTTCTCTACTTAGAAGTTTATAATTTTGTCGAATCATTTTTTCCTTATTAGTTTGGTAGATATACTTTTTTTATTTATACTGTGTAATCTTTTTACCTTTTGCGTTTGTGTGATGTGCTAATTTTATACTAATTGTTGGTTTGGGTCTAGTTTCTTGCATGAGATCGATAACCAAAGTTTCCTCGTAATTCTGAGAAAGGGAATTTTTCCATCTAACATTTTTATAGTATCTTAGATATGATACTAATACTGATACTGATACTGATCTGATACTGATACAGATACAGATACTAGATACTGATACTGATACTAACTAACTAACTAACTAACGATTTGATTCGAACTTAGATGCTACTTAGATTCATATCAGATTTTAATATTCGAATATAGATACATTAGAATATACATATGATTTCTTCATATATGTTGTGGTGTTGAGATAACTAGAGAGTATTTTCTAGTACTGTTTTATGCACCTGTTCTAGATTTTAATGCAATTGTATCAATTTTTTGTTTTTGATATTTTTTTCCTAATAGATGAAATAATGATCGTAAACTGTACGAAAAATTTTTTGAATTAACGAACAAAAAAAAATTTCTGTTAATTATTAATTACATTTGTACCTCTATCCTGTATGAAATTTTAAGATTTCTGGTAATTTAATCTGATTACATTACATTGATTTTATTAATTTAAACTTGATTGAACTTGATAAATGCTAACCAATAAACAACCTTTTTTTTTTTTTTATGAAAATAAGGCCTTGGATTTGAATTTAAGATCTTCATACTTGCTAAATTTGTATTTTTATGATCGATCCTAAAATTATGCTTAAAAGAGATTTAGTGTGTGAAAAAAATTGAATACAAAATATGTGTTAGATCAAGCCTTGACCTGTTATTTATTTATTACATGATTAATGATAAAGAAAAAAATTAAATTCGAATCGAGCCTCAACCTGTTATTTATTTATTACGTTATTAATAATAAAGACTTTATTTGTCTTATATGACATATGAACTTTTATACTTAAAAAATATATTATCTTTATTATTATAAAATAAAGTATTTGTCATTTATTATTATTATTATTGTAATTATAAAGTATTAATTTAAATAATTAAATAACGATAACTGTCGATAGTTTAAATCAAGCAATAACCTAAAATTAAATCCTCAAAAGCCGAATTACAGTTATTCACCTTATGTTATTATTTATTTTTTATTATTATTTGTTATAAAATAAACTATTTAAAATGATGATAACTATTAATAAATTAAATCGAGTGATAACTTGAAATTAAATCCCCTTATTTTATTTTCTATTTTACTAAATTACGAGCTTTGTTATTTGAATACAAAAAGAATTTTTATCATTACGACAACAGATATAAAAAAAAAAATTATATAAATTAAATTATGCAACCCTTAACATGTAATACACTTGAAGACACCTATCATCTTTACAAGAACTTATTCTAAATTCTGCTTGAGTTTATTATCATCTTGATCTTTCTATTTCGTGTTCAATATTAACCAAAATTAGATCCTCAAAAGCTAAGTTACGATTATTGATCTTATGTTATGTGTGAACTTTTTTCATACATCTTCTTTACCTGTTGCATTTACTCGATTACAAACTTTTGTATTAATATTAAATTTAAATTCAATGAATTCAAAGAAAGAAAGATTTATTATTATTATTATTATAAATTTAAATAATAAAAAATAACTACACATTAATGAATTAATTGAGCAATAACCTGAAATTAGATCCTTAGAGGCTATAATTGTAAGTATTATCTTGCGTTATGTGTGAACATTTTCTTTAAAATTCTTTTTTCTTTACCTGTAATGTTTTCGTCCTATTATTATTTTATTCTTCTTGATGAATTAATTGAGCGATAACCTGAAATTCGTTCCTTAAAGACTATAGTTGTAAGTATTATCCTGCATTGCATGTAAACGTTTTCTTTAAAAATTTTTTTTGTTTACCTGTAACTTTTATACTGTTGCTATTTTATTTCTTCTAAACTAAATAAACTGTGACCTGACCATGACTATATCATTTTGATAATCTACATTTTAATTAAAAATCTGTATTTAAATTTACTCTTACGTTCTTTTTTTTTTTTTTCTTCAATAAATAAATAAAAAAAATAAATTTTCATTTTTTTTTAAAAAAAAATTTTCAAATATATACATATATCATATCATTAAATTTTTTGTAAGATATACTTGGCACTATTACTGTACTATGTTACATTACTGAATATTACGAAAGTTCTGCCAAGATCCTTTCAATAATCGATGCTTTGGGAGTTGTTCATTCTCGAAGTTTGGATTCTTCATTAACTGTCTTTCTTAAGGGTTTTTATCCACAAGATACTTCCTGTAAATTAAGTTATCCTTCATTTAAAAAAGAGGAAGTTATTTTAGTAACAGGAAAATTTTATGTTGTAGAATATATAAATGAAAAAAATGAAAAAGTTCCGACTTTAAAAGTATAATAACTGTTTTATATATTAAACTTTGTAAATAGAATTTTTGCTAGAAAAATTACCCTTCGGAATTTTCTATATGAGCCAATTCTAAAGGATTTAGACCAGAATACCAGTTCTTGTTTATATGTAAGTCATCTTTTACTTTTATTGATGCAATAGTTTATTTAGTAAACTATTGTATCAGCAAGGTAAAAGATGATTTGCATGTAAATAATAAATAACTAGTGTTCTGGTCTAAGTCTTTCCAAATTGACCTGTTCAAAAAATTCTGAAGAGTGATTTTTCTAGCGATGATTCTGAATAACCTTTTTTTTTTATTTCTGATAATAAAAAAATTTCCTACATAGATTATTTTAAATGACCTCGTACATCTCAATATCAAGCCAAATGACGTACCAAAATTTCCAATTCTAATCAATATGACAGCGGTAGTTGAGAAGGTTCTGATTATAGGCGAAAAATATGTTACTATATCCATTGTGATATAGATTATGTTGACCAAGATTCTACAAAGATTTTGATAAAATGTTATTACTCAACGACTGCTCCATATTTGATTCATATAACTGAAATGATTAGAAAAAATTCTGTTCTATATATCAACAGAAAGCTTATATTATATGATGATGTTAACTATGTTCATGTTAAGTCTATATCTTTTTCTGATAGTCAAAAGAAAGAAATAGGTGAAGCTACTTCAGTAAAACCTCTATGGGAATCAGAAAATTTAAATGAATTAAGTGAAACTAATACTGTTATACAAACAATTGCAACAGGTATGAAAAATAATCTCAAATGAGCTAAAGCTTCTTCTTCTGTGATCACTCCATATATTAAGACTAAAAACTGTCGTAAAGTATCAGACCTTACTAAAGAAGCATTGACTAATTTTACTGAATTAGATATACCTTCTTCTACACCTGCTGATCCCCAAGTGAATAACTATACATGATTAGTTTCTTTGTTCCTACCTACGTATTGATTTAAAATACTTTTCTTTCAAGATATTTTATTATGTGTTAAACCTTACAACTATCAATTTTATGCTTGTAGATTATCTAAATGATCTAAACTGGTTTAATATTTCTGAAGTTCTCTTTTGAAATATTGTTATTATTGTTATTGTTTTTTTTTTTTTTTTTTTAACTAGGTTAAGCAGTGTATTTGACTCTAGATAAGCTATTGGTGTTAGAATAGTATTTTCTAGGCTTGTGAACTGTAGTAAAAGAATATTCCATAAGGGTCATAATCTATCGAACAAGATGATTTTGGGGCAATTTAATCAGAAACAGTGATTTTAGAGCAGAATGATCAGTATATAAAAGAAAATGACTTCTGTGAAAGTAAGGTCAGAAGTATCTAACAGCTCAAATGACTGCAAGACACTCCTTTTCTGTTATGGCATAATTTCTTTTAGTGGGAATAAGACTTCAGCTAGCATAAGTAATGACTCTTTTGTTATGATTGTCATCATTCTGAGCAAGAATAGCACCAAGGGCTATATCGGAAGCGTCAGTAAATAAGATGAATGTTTTGGAAAAGTCAGTATAAGTGAGTACAGGAGCAGAAATTAATTTTTCTTTTAAATTATCGAAAGATTCTTATTGTTCAACTGTCCATCTATAACTAATATTCTTTTTTAATAATTTATTTAGAGGAGCAGCAATATTTGTAAATCTAGAGACAAATTTTCTATAATATGAAGCTAATCCCAGAAAACTGTGTAACTGTTGTAATTTCTTAGAGATAGGAAAATTTTTTACTGATTCAACCTTTCTAGGATCAGTGGCTATTCCATTCCAGCTTATGATGTAGTCTAGAATTTTCAATTCTTGTTTGGCGAAGTGACACTTGGTAGATTTTAACTTTAATTCGGATTTATGAAGTCACTCAAATACTATCTTTAAATGTTCTAAGTGTTTATTAAAATTTTTTGAATAGAGATTAATGTCATCTAAGTAAATTATGATGCATTTGCCTATTAGGTCTTGGAATATATGATCCATAAGTTATTGAAAGGTAGCCAGAGCATTCACTAGTCTAAACGGTATCATGTTGAACTCAAAATTTCTAAAGGGCAGTTTTTTCTTTATCAGATTCACGAACTTCTACTTGTCAATTCCTGCTAGCAAGATCCAATGATGAGTACTAGAAAGAACTGTTTAAAGCATCGAGTAGGTCATCAATATGAGGTAAGGGATAATTATCTTTTTTTGTAACTGCATTTAATTTGCAATAATTAACATAGAACTGAGTTTTCTCATCTTCCTTTTGAACTAAGACTATAGGTGACATTCAGGAACTATCAGAAACATAAATAACACTATCTCACAGCATTTGAGCCAGTTCCTTTTTTATGATTTCTTTCTCTTTGAGGGAGGATCAGTAATATTTTTGCTTAATAGACAATGCATTTTCAGTATTGATAATATGTTGGACTAGGCTAGTTCAGCTAAGCATATGACTTCTCATGTAAAAAGTGATAGATTATCATCAAGGAGTTTTTGGATTTGTTCATATTCACCTCTGTTAAGCTTGCTGATTTGAGTATAATCTGCTGATTCTTTCTTTTCTTCGTAATAATAATATAATAATAGAATATCTCTTTACCTTCAAATCTAGTTAACGAAATCCAGACCAGGTTACTAGTATCCTGGCAAAAATAAGAACTTATTTATAGACATTATTAAAAAAAAAAAAAAAAAATGGAAGTTGAAATATACAAAACCTACTAAAGATACCTTAAAGATGCATTGATCCCACCAAGTTATACAAAAAAAGACATTAAAGATTTAAAGTATAAAACCTGTCATTATATAGTAATCGAAGGACTACTATATAAAAAAAACTCCCAAGATCCATCTCGCCCTTTTAGAATTTTAAAGAAAAATGAAATAAATTTGGTTCTTTTTAATATGCATGACAACCCCCTCTCTGGACATTTTAATTTTTATTCTATATAACAAAGGATAGCCATTTGTTATTATTGGCCTCAAATAGGCAATCATATTAAAGAGTATGTCTGTACCTGTGAGGTATGCCAAAAGAAAAAGAAGCTCTAGACTCAAGAACTGTTGTATCAATTAAAGTTAGAAAATCTTTCAACTGAATAGGAATTGATATTGTTAGACCTCTTCTAGTAACTTCTTGAAATAACAAATATATTGTCATCACAACTGAATACCTCACTAAATAGCCTAAAGCTCACCCAATCAAAAAAGCTGATACTGAAAATGTAATAAGTTTTATATTTGAGGACCTAATCTGTAGATATGGAGGTCCAAAGGAATTATTATCAGATCAGAGCTTCTATTTTTGTAATCAATTAGTAGAGGCCCTATATAAAAAAATGAGTATCACTTACTATACCTCCACTGCATATCACCCTCAAACTAATGGTTTAGTTGAGAGGTTCAACAAAACTCTTTGTGGTGTCCTAAATAAATATGTTAATCAATTCGAAAAAAAATAGAATGATTGCATAGTATCTACTCTTTTGCTTATTGTACTACCAAACATAGTACTACTGGATACAAACCTTTCTTTCTATTGTATGGTAGGGATGCCACTCTCCTAATAGAAATAGACCTTATTACTTATCAGACTAAGCCTGGAACTGAAAAAGTATTGGAATACCAAATTTTATGCTGTATTAAAAAAATACTCAGAGACCTAGCCAATGTCTGAGTACAAGCTACTATTAAAATAAAAAAAATACAGGTTAAACAAAAAGAACGTTATGAAAAAAGAAATAAAATTGAATCATATGAGATCGGTGATCAAGTTCTTTTATACTGGTCTAAACTAGAAATATCATATAGCACCAAATTGAAATCTCTAAATTCAGGTTTCTATTATATCCATGAAGTACTTGAATATGGATTATACAAAATAAGAACTATAAATAGTCATGTAATTAAAAAGAAGATCTATAGAAACAGGTTAACATGTTATTATTACCAACAAAAGAATGTTGGAACCACTATCGCTTATATCAGTTGAAATCATTATAAAAGTAGCAAGACAAATTTCTTTAATAAAAGAAATCAAAATAGAACCTTTCGAAACCTCTGCACATATCAAGAAGACTCTTGTCCTTCTTAAAGTTCAATTAGAAAAGGCCGATATAAAAGGCTCCTATACTATCTCAGCTAAAAATATTACTTACCTCTTAGGATAGCAATTTCAAAGCTTAAATTTCACAAACCCTAAATGAGAAAGTGATACATAAAGATTATATCAAAGGATGCCTTCATTTATTGAAGACCTTTACTGAGAAGAAACTATTACCTGAAGAGTTGAAATTCCTAGTAGACAGACCTAGGAAGAAAAAGTATCTAATATTTGTAACCGAATTTCTACTAACAGAGCTGATTGTATTATACAACTACTGTATTATTACTCCTTCAGATCCTTATTAAATGAAAAAGCTTGGAGTAAAGAAGCTAAAAAATATATTCAATATTTCCTCTCTCAGAGGTTCTATGAAACCTTAATAATCGCCCAGAGAGCCTACTAATTATATACAGTTTGAGGTTTTGCCTATTTATTTATCTCTTAACAGATTACTCCTTATGTCCTTCAATAGCTACTAAAAGAAGACTTTGTGACTTTACAAGCTGAAGCCCAATCTATAATTCAGTGTAAGCTGAATGAAGTTCTCACAATAACCAATTTCGCAGGAGCTCAATCACTAGAGGAGGCATATGTAACAAATTAAAAGAATTTTTTTGGTTTACCTCTGTTAATTATTGAACATTTTTATTTTATCTTTATATATTATTATTATATATTTTTATTATTATTTTTTTATATATATTTATTTTTATTTTTTTTATATATTTTTTTATTTTATTATTATTTACTTTTCCAGTTTTTATATTGTATATGTTTTATCTAGTTATCCATATGTTATACAGGAAAGGAAGTCAATAGTGACTTAGTGGCTTGAACACATGTGAAGTAGATTAATTACGTACACACCTAAAGATTTATGTATACGTGATTGTACAAATTACATAGATTGTGCCACCTACAATCTTAGCATGTTAATGTGAAAAATTCAATGTATACATAGAATAATATAGCGTAGTCATTAAGAAATGAGTATAAACGTTAAAATAATAATGATTACGTCTTATAAAACTAAAATGTATATAACTAGCTCAAGTTTTAATAAAGAAAAGGATTAAGTTCCATTATCAATAAAATAAAATAAATAAGTATACATATAATTATCTTTAAAAAATATATACATATGAAAAATCATCCTTCTTGAATTCGACTTATAAATTTAATAGACCCTTCGAGACTCAATTTGACGGACTAAATTGACTTGTAACTTCAGACCAGGTTGTTAAAACTCGAATTCATGTGTAAAAGAGACTATCTTTAGTTATACGAATAAGGTTGACATTAGTAAATTAGTAGATATTGATTAAACATTTTGTAGTATTATTATTGAACATTAAGTGATTAGTTATAGATCGAACCAATTATTAATAATCTCTTGAGACCCTTATCAATCAATAAATCATCCCAGTTATCATTAAGTTGTCCCAAGTCCCTTTTTATTTATCAATATTACTTTTATTCGCTTCCCTATCAATCGAAATACCTATATTTCTCATACTTCGTAACTATTTAATCCCATTCACGTTTACGAGAACCATCAAATTCTTCTTAACCGTAAACTATTGGGGCTGAATTGGTAACCTAAATTCGACCCTATAATTTAAAGCTCTCCCAATACAATAGTTACAATAGGTAAAAATCTTCAATTTATACATTTATTTAACGTTAAGAAAATTACTTTAAATAATCGGCAGTGTTTAATTAGTCAATAACGATAAAACAAAAAAAAAATTCATTTCATTTACTTTAGGGTTAGGGCGAGGCCTAGGATTTTGGCAAGGTGTTATATATATGCAAAATTTAGCAGGTAATTTTTTT